CCCCAACGGGTAATCGGGGATTTTCCCCATTACAAGGTTTTCAATTTTTTTATGAAAAATAACTAATAGTTAAATATTTACCAACAAAACAAAGGGTCATAGAAATAATATAAAATAACTATTACGTACATTTTCAATTGCTCCTTTAATGACCTCTAACCCAATTTTGACAACAAGATTAAGAATATGGGCTGCACATCTCATGTGAATGTGTGTGCCATCATGTATCAACTTACTTAATTGCAACTTTTCTTTAATCTTACCGATTAATGCATCATTCGTAGTACAATTGTCCACTGTGATAGTAGACAATTTGGTGTCCACATTTACTCCATCAATGTATCGATCAAAACATCTGTAAGAACTTCACTCGTGTGTGGGCAAGGCACATAAATAAACCTACCAAACATAATAATCATAAATTTAAGAAAAAAAAATACAAAGTCATATAACATACAAAAAAAAAGTTGAAAAAAGTAGTACCTTAAAATTATACTTTGAAGACACCAATCATTAATATAATGACCTGTAATAGCCATGAACCCTTTTTTTTGATTGGTGGTAGTCCACATATCAGTTGTAATGGCAATTCTACCTTGCAATTTTTCAATCTTTTGAATAACCTTACTTTTCTCCATCGCATACACATTTTTAATGTCACCTTTCAATGTATTCCGACAAGGGCATTTGAATAAAGGTTGAACGATTCTTGTAAAATTATTAAAACCAACATGCTCAACAATAGAAAGAGGATACTCGTGTAATATGACCATTTTAGCCAATGCATTTCTACTATCTTTTTCATTGTAGACATATGTAGACAAATCAGTTTTCAAGTTCGATACCAAAAGTTTTTGTCGAATATCAGTTTGGCCCTTAGCTAAGCATTTCTCCCTATGTACTAACAAATGTTTGGTGCCATTTTTTGAATCTGCTCCTAATAACGCGTTACAAGGTTTACATTGTGCCTTTGGTTTCCCGTTAACAGTAATTTTAACAAATTGATCCCAAGCAATGTTTTTTTGTCTTTTGTTTGGAGGTTTTGCTACATCTGGTTGAGGTGCTTCTTCAACGAAAGGAACATTTGGACTTGTATTATCGTGTTCAACTTTGACATTTGTAGAACCAACCGGTGTAGAAGGATGTTGTTGTTCACTCCCCGAGGCAATCTCTTCCATTTTTCTGCCCAAAACAAATTAATTTCACAGCAGTTCAGCATATAAACATTCACCACCAAAATCAATTTAAAAATCAACTTGACAAATGGTTAATTCAAACTCATTCCATACCCGCTAGTACTGATCTGATTCTTATAGAATCCTTTTTAAAGGTGCATTTATTATTATTATTATTATTATATATAAGTTTGGCATGTGGATGTTTCTTGTGTTATCATTAATGGATTATTGGCTAGCTGCACATCATTGTCGATATATAAGGCCCTACTCCTTTGTTATGGATATTTCCAGATTTTTTTTAAATGGGCTGATAGTCTAATACACTCATACACACAATAGACATTCAACGAAATCGATTGAACATGGAGATGGATAAGTAATAATCGATAAGTAATAAGTATAAACAACAAACCTGGATCGATAAATGGCGTCAATTAAGTGCTGATGCCGTCGATTAACCCGTCGTCCGTCGTCTGATCACTAATGGATATGTTGGTGTCATCAATCGTGGTACGAAATCGATGGAGAATGGAAATGCTTGCCGGTTGGAAGTCGAAGGCAGGAAGGAGGCGGACAGCGGGAAGTCGGGAACGAAGCAGACGTGAGACGACTCGTATTGACGAGTTGGTTTATCGAATAAAAAAAACCATATTGACTTTCCTAATTCCTAGTTTCCTTAATCCTTACGCTGTTACACATTATGATTTTATGAAATTAAAATTTTGAATTAATTAAAAATAAAATATAAAATCTACTATAATAAATGAAGATAATTTTGTCGCATGTCAATCTCTCATAAATTTTGACACTTGTCATTTTGTGATAATTTTTAAAATAAAATAATATCCACATGTAAATTTCTAGATTTTTTCACTTTTTAAAATTAAAGCCACATAATATTTATACTTATATATGTAAAGTATTAAATGTAATAAATGTGATAATAAATTGCAATTAATATGTTTTTCATTTATTATTTCAAAATTTTATTTTAATGAATATTTATTGTTTACACTTTGATCTTTTTTAATCAACCCGTGCATTACACGGGTTTTACACCTAGTATAAATTATATATACTGTTTCTAAGTCAAACTCGTATTTCTTAAGTTATTTCACATTTTTTGTCAAAGAAATTTACACTTTCTAATCACTATTATTATATATATATATATATATATATATATATATATATATATATATATATATATATATATATATAAAGCTTCTAGTTTCCTTACGCATTATGAATTTATGATTCTATGGAATAATTTTTTGAATTAATTAAAAATAAAACTTAAATTATATATATATATATATATATATATATATATATATATATATATATATATATATATATATATATATATATACGGGTACCCATCGGGTACGGGTATGGGTACTCGAGAGGTAGAACCATCCCCGTCCCCATCCCCGTTTTTTGCATTCGGGTAATACCTGTCCCCGTCCCTATCCCCGGTCAATTCGGGGATTTCCCCAGTCAACTCGGGTTCGGGTTTCGGGTACCCATCGGGTACGAGTTTTTTTTGCCATCTCTAGTCGTGACACACATATGCTCACACCGTGGCCAAAGATTTCATCCTTTAAGACTTAAATTGACAAACTTAAAAGTGATGCTTACCTGGAGTTTGGTGTTACAATATTGAACCTATACCATGGATCTCCAATGTTGATAGATTGGTTTCTACCATGTGGTGACTCATTTCGTTGGCTTTAAGCCCATTTCAAGCTCATATTAGTAATTTCAAAATCAACCATCCCCTCAACATTTTTTTTTCATTTTTATTTCATTTAATCACCAATCATATATGTATTTGAGCATTTTTGGAATAACTTGATAGTTCGTATCCTTGAGGACATGAACACTGCTTCTGGTTATACGAATTATTTATATGTTTAAATAGGTACATCTTTTCATTATTATTTGATGATTTTATTTTGTTGGATTCGACATTCAACATCAACAAACTTAGGTCAACTTCGGCGTCTATATGATCGATTCACATCCATGGACAGATCGATCATGAATTTTGATGCTTAATCCCATCCTTCGATAACCTCGTAGCACAAAAAACATCAATGTCCTCTTATATTAGATCATCTTGTATACTTCTCACCCCACGGGGCATGCAGAGCTTCCAAGACAGCAAAAACATCACCACAAACCATCACATGTGGTGTCAGTATACATAGCACAGTGAAGAAGAGAGAAGATAACGGTTACATGAGAGAAGAAGAAATATGATTGGTCTTTCTCAATTGTAGTTGTGACCACAGTCACACACACACATAAATATGTAACCTAATGTTTTAAAAAATGGTTCGAACCGGCCGGTTGAACTAGTCAGACTGAGAACCGAGGACGAGATCAGTTCAACAATGACTAATTTTATGTCAATTTCTAAACTGAATCGAACCGGACGATTTCTTAAGAAAAAACGGGTTGAACCGATGTGATAGAACCAGTAAAAAACTGTTTGAACCGGTTTATTGGACTTGAATAGTTGAATTTCACTCGGCCCTTTAAAAAAAAGTAAATTTCCAAAGTAAATTGAATAAATTAATCGATCAGGTAATCCTTAATGTACACAACTCGAAGACCGACACAAATAACTCTCAGATATAGACTAATGGTCAAACCAATTGAACCAAAAATTGTTTATGGTACCGGTTCAAATTAAAAAAGGGAAAATAACTTAAAAATGTAACGAAGTTTAAAAAATGTACAAAAAAGACCATTGTTTTTTTTTTTTTTTTGTACATAAAATACCATTTTACCGGCTATTGTAGGTTACCCGGTTTCCAAATGTTCAAAAAATACCATTGTTGTTTTTTTAGTACAAAAAATATCATTAGTGTTACTATTTGTACACAGAATACCAACAAAGTACACATGTGTTCAATTAAAGCATTGTGGTAACCAGGTACTTCAGGTAAATGAGAAAATGACTTAAAAGTGTAACGAAGTTTCCAAAATGTTTAAAAAATACCACACTTTTTGTTAATTGTGTTGTTGTCGGATTATGTAGAACACAATCACCAGAGATCATGAACCGTCATATCAGTTCACATGTGCAAATCTCTTTCATTCTTTCACTCGATCGTTTTTATGGTAACAAGAGAAGTAAGTGGGTAATAACATTAGTTAAATATTCTTGCTTCCCGGTCACATTATATGCCTCAAACCTAAAACATATATACGTTATATAGATGCACATATTATACATCACGGTTAGCCGTTCATTAGTGTTGCGACACAAGAGAGACACAAACGAGTGTGACGTTATGTCATGAGAATTCCTAAATGTGGATTTAGATACAAACTGAACGAGTGATGGAATGAAAGATAGTACACAACTTGTGTGAACTGGTACGATGGTGACTAATCCTTGATGACTGTGTTCTATATAATCCGAAAACAACGAAGTTAACAAAAGGTGCTCTGAAAAAACAACAATGTTTTTTTTTTTTGAACATTTTGGAAATTTCAATGGTATTTTTTATACTAAAAAAATAATGGTATTTTTTGAACATTTTTGAAACTTTATTACCTTTTTAAGACATTTTTCCGTTATCTGATGTAACCGGTTACTCAAAAGGTTTTATTTGAACACATGTGTATTTAATTGGTATTTTGTGTATAAAAAATATACTTTAATGATATTTTGAGAACTAAAAAAAAAAATGGTGTTTTTTTATACATTTTTAAACTTCATTACCTTTTTAAGATTGTTAAAAAACGATTTTAAAACATTGCTTTAACCTTGAACTCGCATTATAAAATTTCATTGTTCATCCGTCTAAAAAAATCATACGCATTAATTTAAGTTTTTTCTCGGATCTTCTGGCCGGTTTGTATTCGGACCTTCCATAATAACCAAGCCGTCAGGTTACCACGGCGGCGCTACCGCCGCTACCAGAGGCGTATGATGACCTCTCTACTCCGCAGAGCGGCGTCAAGCCTCCGCTCCAACTCTGAAAAACGTCACTTTTTTGCACATGCGACGCATCGCATGGAGGAGACTGGTTTATATGGATGCAATCATCTGAAAACCCCCAAGGGCTTTCAGCGTTTTGTAGATGAAGCCATTGAAAGGTAAAAGTAGAGTGAATTCAATAGCTTCTCATCACTTAAAATGCTGTAAACGTAATGAATTTTACAAAACGACACAATGAATTACGATTATGCCAGATTTTTTATGTTATTTCTTGTTTTTGTTTTCCTTGACAGGTCTAATGAACTTGTTGGCTACATTTCTCGAATGCCTTCATCTGCTGAAATTATTAACGCCATGGATGAAATATCAAACACCGTAAGGATTTTGAGAATTTCCATGTCCTTTGCATATTCCAGAAAGCTAATGTTTAAAAGTTTCAGGTATGCCAAGTGGTGGATTCCGCAGAACTTTGCAGACACACACATCCTGACAGGTTTTTTTTCCTTTTCATTAATCTGACTACATGTTGGATTCATTGTTTTTTGTCTTTGCTCTTGATGATATCTGAGTTATACTACAGGGATTTTGTTGATGAGGCAATGAAGGCATCAATGAGGATTAACGAATATCTACATGTGAGGTGACAAGTTACATAATTGGTTTAGCTCTATTTACAATATCATAACTTTATTTCAATTCTATTTGATGTCACATCTTTCAAATTATTGACCACTTGCAATGATGATTATGGTGTTCATGATCATTGGCATACAGTATCTAAATACAAATCTTACTCTATACAATGCGGTGCTGAAAGCTGATCAAGATCAGACTCTAACAAGCAATGAAGCTAAAAGAGTTGCACGTGATCTTCGCATTGATTTTGAAAAGGGTGGAATTCATCTATCTGCAGGTTATTTTCTTCACTATGTTGTATAAGTACTACTATTCTTAGCAAGTGTATTCACTAACTACATATTGTTATATGACTTGACTTCACAGAAAAGAAAGATCGAGTGAGTCAACTCAATATTGAAATCGCCAGATGCTGTGCACAGTAAGTAAATGTGATTTATATGATTATATACTTATATATTCTAATGAACCACATATAATATTTTGTCAGGTATAATGAAAATATAGCCAAGGATCCAGGTCATGTGGATATATATCCAGCATCACGTATACCAAAGAACTTACATCATCATGTTAAGCCTGTTAATCGGTCAACTTCACCAGGTCAAAAAGTCAACATCAGAGAAAAAGGGTTCCGAATAGTAACAGAACCAAGCACTGTGTCAGCTGTTTTGCAATGGGCATATGATGATGAGGTTCAATATTAGTACTCTGTATTTTCAAATTAAAATGTTATGGTTGACTATTTCTATGTTATGTTTTTCATTTTTATATATTTATTTTTCATTCAGGTTAGGAAAATGACATATATTAAAAGTAATTCCGTACCACGTGCAAATCTTGGAGTTCTTGATAACCTAATTGCTGCACGTCATGAAATTTCTCAGGTTGTTATGGTAACTTGTGTTTTTTAGGAGATTTTTTTTTTTCATTTGTATATTTAATATGTCTGTTAAATGTTTTTAATTTTGCTTCTTATGTATACATGCAGATCATGGGGTATAAATCATATGCTGAATATGCTTTGAATTCAAATATGGCTTCATCTCCGGATGTTGTATCGCCTTTTTTAGTTGAGCTGAGTAAAACTGTACAGCCGAAAGCATTTGAGGTAATATTTTCTAGCATGTTCTTTTAATACAACATCATTTTGTCAGACATTTGATACTCTCTAGTTTTTGGTTGGATATGATAGGAGTTTGAGTCAATTTGTAAGTTCAAAAGAGAAAAAAATGGTGACCAAGATATAGGATTAGAGCCATGGGATGAAGCATATTTTACACGGTCAATGAAATCAGCTGCTTACAACTTGGACTTTTCGGTATGTTATCTATTGATATTTGTAATGCTCTTACTTCTTAGGGGCTGTTTCTTTCTTTTCTCTGAACCATTAAGAGGTTGGAATCATTCAGCAGTAATTGGTTCAGTTTTATCAAACAGCCCTTTAGCCCATTAAGTCATTCTTTCTAGATATTATATCGAAAAGAAACAACCATGTATAGCTGTTCAGATTAATGGATTAAACCATTACACCAGTTAAGTCAAAAGAAACAACCCCTTAATGAATTTTTTTTATGCTGTCTTTAAATATAAGTTTTCATATGATGTAAATTTAGGTTGTAGCTTCGTATTTTTCTTTGACACAATGTCTTGAGGGTCTTAAGATTCTGGCTGAATCCTTGTTTGGAATGAAATTCCTAAATTGTCCTCTTGCACCCGGTGAATCATGGCATCCAGATGTGATGAAAATGGCCCTTCATCATCCTGATGAGGTACATTTCCATCTTCACGAAAATTCCTAATTTTGTTTTATCGAGTAAATTACACTTTTGGTCCCTGAATATAGCTTATTCTTGCATTTTTTTTTGTCCCAAAAGTTTTCTCTTGCAGTTTTGGTCATCCTTTGAGGTTCTTATAACTTTTTTGGTCCTTGTTCCAAGTAAAATGATTATTTTTGGTCCCCGAGTATACCTGATTGTTTTCAACTTTGGCCCCAAAAATATAGTCATTTTCTTGAAACAGATACCAAAAAACCTCAAATAAGGACCAAAATTGCAAAAATCAGCTTATACTCAAGGGACGAAAAATGTAATTCAGTGTTGTTTATTTTGTTATTAAATGTATTTCAGGGGGATTTGGGGTATATATACCTTGATTTAAATTGTAGACAGGGGAAGTATCCTGGTTGTGCTCATTTTGCCATTAGAGGAGGGCGTAGACTTTCCAAAACAGAATACCAGCTGCCAGTAAGTTGCTTTGTTCATCAAGGAAAGGGCAAATTGCAGGAATTATTATTGTATTCCATTACGAAGAATAAAAAAAAAAAAAAAAGTGATGAAATGTTTTTGTTGATTATTATTGTGAAGGTGATTGCCCTTGTGTGCAACTTCTCAAAGCCACATAATTCATCAATCGTGAGACTTAACCACTCTGATGTGGATACCCTTTTCCATGAATTTGGACATGCTCTTCATTCTTTACTTTCACGAACAGTAAGTGTTGCACCATTTTTTAAAGACTTGATTGAATTAATCACTATTTTTTTATTGTATAAAAATATTTGCAGGATTATCAACATTTTTCAGGTACCAGAGTGGCTTTTGATATGGCTGAAACTCCTTCCAACCTTTTTGAGTGAGTATAAACTAGAAACTATAAAGCTATACAACTAACTAATATTATATTTAAGGATTTGATTGATTAATTTTATGTTTCCCTTTTAGATACTATGCGTGGGATTATCGGGTCTTGAAGAAATTTGCTAGACATTATTCCACTGGCGATTCCATTCCCGAGAAACTTGTGGAGTCGATGGTGGGAGCCAAAAAAATGTTCTCTGGAATGGAATTGCAGCAACAGGTCGGATTTGAAATGAAACCTTGCATTTCTATATCAATCACAAATTACAAAATTGAAGATGATGATTCATGATTCATGTTTGATGCTTGCACTTACTTGTTCAGATATATTATGCATTGGTTGATCAAACACTGTACGGTGATCCGGCATTGCGGACAATCGATACCACTTCAATTGTTGCGGATTTGAGAAAGCAGCATACGAATTGGGAACATGTGAAGGGCACACATTGGCAAACGCGATTCAGTCACTTACTATATTATGGTGCAGGTAAATACGTTTCTTGTTAAAAAAAAGAGTGCACTAAATTAGGCAGGGTTAAATCTGTCCGCTTTTGACTTGAAAAAAAATGTATTGTAGGTTATTATAGCTACTTGTATGCAAAGTGTTTTGCATCAACCATATGGGAAAGAGTATGCAAGGAGGATCCGTTGTCATTAGAGACTGGTACTGCTATTAGAACAAAGTTACTGCAACATGGTGGAGCTAAAGATCCTGCACAGTTACTCAATCATCTTGCTGGTGATGGGATTACAAGGAGCTACCAAAATCATGGACATGGAGGAGGTATAGTCCCAGACATTACAAGCCTATGTAATGAATTGAACTTGAGAAGATGAAAAAAAAATATTACGATTTTGCCCCCCACCTCACCTCACTGTGTTGTTTTGCCAGAGAAGGAAATTAAGCAGGTCTGGTGTGACCAATGACCAATTCTATGTTGTTGTATCTCAAGTAAACTGGCAATTGACCTTTCATCTGTTTGAATTAATCTTGTGATCATGTTTAACATGATGCATAAGACTATTTTAGATTATTTATACAACATATTGCCATGCCATCATCATGTTATTATTTTTTTTGATATATAAATATCTCATTATTTTTATGCAAGACTAACATATCAAAATATTTGCATGCAATGTATATGTTTCCAAATCTGATTTATCATTCATGTTTTTAAATTTGACATGACATAACTAGTATTGATATGGTTGTGATGCTATGTTTTTAAATCTGATGTCTGTTTTCAACATTGACCACCATTCCTGAATAATAGAGTTGACTTCTGGTACCTCGTCATGTGGACTGTGGTCTGCATCCAACTCCTTGATTACAAATTCTTTGTTTTGGAATCAGAAATCGGGTCTTTCATGCCCTTTTCTTCCAATCCTTCGAGGACATAATTCATTGGAATTGAAGGATCAAATGTAAAAAGGCTTTCCAAAACCAGCATCGCACCAGGGTCATATGTATGACTATTCTTCAATAACAAAATGCACAATTTACAAGACTCGCAAAAACTTTTAACACCAACATTTGTATGAGTCCACAATTTGTCAAAAATAAAAGCACACAATAACTAAAATAAACTAAATTACATGTTTGATAGTATAATCAATTTTTGATGTGAGCAGTCTGATTTCATTAAAGGCAGATAGATTTTAGATGGCCCTTTGATGGTGAATGAGATCATAGAGTGGTATAAAAAGCAAAAAAAAAAAAATTGTTAGATTTGCAAAGTAGACTTAGATAAGGCGTTTGGGATTATTTACTGAAGGTTATGGAACTTATGGGGTTTGGAGCCTGAATTGCAAGAAACAGCTATACTCAAGGACCAAAAGTAGTCATTTCATGTTATAAAAACCTAAAATAAGGACCACAATTGTAATAGAATTTTTTGGGACCTAAGAGTAACAAACCCCCATTGTATTGGACTATTGGTAAATGTTTTTTTTTTTTTTTAAATGTCATCATATTCCGCTACAAAATTCATATTCTCTCTTATTTGATCAAAGTTGATAGTTTTACTAGTCTATAATAGCAAAAATATAAGGAAAGGAAAAAAGCAGTTAAATAAGTAAATCTAAACTTTGTAATCTGCAGAGTCCCTGAGACCAAGTTCTGCGAGACAAAAGCAATAAGAATCCCAGTCAGTTCTTCGAAGGTACTTCAACAACTTCTTCCTTTTCTGTACCATTGCTTGAAGACCCTTTCTAGAGTGCTTATCCTGCATCATTTTTATCAATCAAGTAATCAACATCAACTACTATCCTTCTTCTTCATATCATATTAAAAGAGCCCTAAGTATACTATTAATAAATAACATCTAAATTACCTTTTTGTGTAGCACTGTAGCAAGGTGCTTGATCTTTGTAGTTAGTTGTGCCACTGAAAGAAAAAATATGCTCAAAAAGTCAATAAACCAAATAACTTGCAACCACTAACAACTTGAATCTTGTATATTTTGATGTAAAACACAACAATCACTGTTGAAATATAACTTGATAATTTACTTTTAATGTCTGGAAATCTGAATTGATTTCTCGGGAAAGAATTCCCAAATCCAATGATGCATTTTTAATTTTTCTAAACAGAACAAATAACATATGAAGGAAAAATGATGATCAATTGAAGAATGAAGAAAATACTTTTGAGCTGTTACATACCTTGAACACGAGCTGATCCACAATCCGATTCAGAAATTTTAAACTTGTCCCTTACATTTTTAAGCTCAATCTTCTGTTTCTCTGCAGATGACATATGATCTGGATGGAAATACTGTCCACAAAAAAAGAATGCAAAGTTTGAGTCACCAAAAAATCTATTTTATAAATAGAGGGGAACCTAAAATCATAAGGATCTTTCGGTCTTTCCAACCTAATACAAAAATCTATGTTGTATTCCATCAAACTTACATTACCACAGGTTCTTTCTTTGTATAGAAAAAGAACATTCTAACTCTTCATAATCATTGTTCAAGAAGAGGAAAATGGAGAGTTTATAGTATCAAGTTCCTTTGTTTACATCCCAAAGATTTCGGCTTTAAGTAAGAACAGCTGAAAGGAACCAAAATATTGAAACACTTGCCTTTTCAACCAAGACTTCCTTTGGGGGAGATGACATAAAGCTAGGAGTTCCTCCAAGCTGACCCAATATATTAGCTCTTTGAGCTGCAAGCAAATGAAACAAGAACACATCATTTGATACAAAATTCAACTATTGAGACCAACAAAGTGAAATACCTGCATTCTTTTTGGTTATCCCATCATCCTGCAACTTTTTAAGGCTCTCCCTGAGGTGCATATACTTCAAACCATTGGTGCTTTCGATTTCCTTTTCCTCAATTTCTCTCAACATTTTCAGCCTCTCACTTAACTCTCCTAATGAAAATTTGGTGGTCTTGTTCCCTGGCCTCAGCTTCCTCAACTTCTCCCCCATTTCTCCATAGCTGTACATCCTCACAAACTCTGTTTTACTCTCATCCGACACCACACCCTTAGTAGAAGGAATCTTGTATTTCAGACTCTGACTAATTCCATCAAGAGGTGACCTTGGTTGTTGTGATTGTGGTGGCACGTGATTTAAACTCATGCGGATTGAGTCTAAAGATGGAGCGGTTTTGGTGCCAGATTGTTGATCAGCTTTTGGCATTACACTTCGCTTGTAGAGCTCCTGGAATGAGATAACTGGTTGCTTTGGCTGTGGTGGTGGTGGTGGTTGGACGCGAGTATACCCCGAGAGGCTTTTTCGGATGTCGTCCATGGAAGAGAGCTTTTGAGTAGACTCATCACGGGGACTTGGATTAGAGCTAAAGGAAGACGACCTGCGAGGCTGTTGAGGTGTTTGTTTTAGACTGGCTTTCACATCGCTGAAATAATCAGAGGAAGAAGAAGAAGATTGGGGTTGTGATTGTGATTGTGATTGTGAGGTTCCTTTCTCATCATTGTCATCGGAATTGGAAGATGAGGATGATGATGAAAAGCGGAGGGAGGAAGTAGCATTTTGGAGGAGGAGTAGATGTCGGTGTCTGAGCGGACGGAAATGGAGGATAATCGCTGTTGCCACCATTGGAGACGATTAGCTCAGAAACCCTAGTGCGTGCTTCAGATTCTCTCTGTCTAAATCAACAATGCCAAACAACCACATTTTCAATATAAGTCAAGCATAAGGATTTCGGATTTCACGGATTGAACATAATGAACAACATAAAACACAAACATATTACACAATATTAACACATAAATCATACATAACCATACACTTGTAACAACAAGCCCTACATCGATCTTGACAGAATTCCGGACAAGAAATAGATACCGAATCAAATCTTGACAGGAATTCAGTCGGGATTCAGATTAAATGATGTGCTTCAAACACTAATTAGACGCTAATCGAACAACTAATTGCAACTGCTTCATCGAATCAGACAAGCATACACTTGTACCGAACCAGAAAAAAGATAGTCACTTACCAGGAGACCGGAGAAGGCGAGACTGTAGCCGGTGTCGCCGGTGATTGGTGGTGAAGGTAGGAGAGAAATTGCAACTGTGAACTTCTCGCGAAGAAGAAGCGTGGAGGCCGCTTTGAACGAGGGGAGAGCTCTGAACCGAGTGTAGGTTTTGGGGGTATTATTGTAATTTTACGTTTAATAAGTTAGAAGCCATTTAGGGGTGTTTGGGATTGTTTAAAATAATTTATGAGTACTAACCCAACCTATCAGATGTTTGGGATTAATTAAAATAATTTATGAGTATTAAAGGGTTTTTAGCTGAGCGGTAAATCGTCATGAATATATTTGAAATTAAAAGGTATTTTATGAGTAAATTAGATTTGTCTTTAAAAAAATAATAAAATAATAATAATAATAGTTTATGTTTTTTATAAAAGTATTTATTAGTTTATCCGATTTTAATAAAAATGTTTGGATTAACTTATATGATATCAAAATGTGATAAGTAGTTTGACAAATTCGACTTAAACATGTCAAATGATCGAAAGAGACATCTTACACATTATTGGTTTTTCATATTTGTTTCAATAACATTTTATTTTTTTATCATTTATAATAATAATTTTTATATAAAAATTAATATCGATAACACTGTAAAATATATTTTGCGACTTTTCTGAGTATATATAGTTGTATCAAAAAGATATTTACAATCATGTAAAATATTTTACATAGTAGTAAACATTGAAAAGATATTTGCAAACATGTATTTATTAACAACTAAAAGATTCAGTCACTCTATATTATATTATTTGAATGATTAAAAATAAAAATAGTAAAATGTGTTAGGACATGAAAAATTGAAAATGATGTTGTTACGTTGGTCAACAAATATTTAAAAGGAAAAAATCAATGAAATAAAAGATAAATTAAAATGTGTTTTTAATCATATTCTATGTGAGTTTTTAGAATATTGATAAGCAATACACACACACATATATATATATATATATATATATATATATATATATATATATATATATATATATATATATATATATATATATATATATATATATATATATATATATAGAGAGAGAGAGAGAGAGAGAGAGAGCTAGGTTCAAATGTGGATTGACATCTATTGTGTGGTCGTGTGTACAATGTTATTCTGTGAGAATGACAAAGAAAATAAGTTGTTTGATAATATGAATACGTTCAATCTTACATAACTATTGTCATTAACACGCATTCTCACTAATTAAATCGTCTATAAGGTTATTATAGATTTTTATTATTATTCTCATTCTGTCAGAATGTTTATTGAGTCGTATTCTGTCAGAATGAAAATGAGTGAAAAACGATGTTTGAGAACAAAAATGAATAAGAATTAGTGAGAATGCATGAAAATAACGATATTGTTGTAAGATTTAACGTATTCGCATTACTAAACAACTCATTATCTTAGGTGTTGTTTGATTTTCTGATGCAAAAATTCATGTAGTCTGCGGACCACCTCTGCAACCCTCTGCAGTAGAAGAGGTGGACCAAACGGCTGCAGAATGTAATCAGAAGCGTGTTTGTTTTTTTAACATCTGCATACTGCTGCAGATATTAAAAAATTAAAATAAACTAATTTATAAACCGAAAATAGTAATTTTAATACGTAAAATTTAATAATGTATAATATTTCGGCAAGAATTAATGATATTTCAATAAAAATAATGATATTTCAACAAAAAATAAAGATATTTCATTAAGAAATTATAATTATTGAATATAAAAAAACGAAAAAAAAATTTAACAAGAATAAACAAAAAAAAACGAAAAAAAAGGTGAAATAAAATTTCAACAACATATAATCAAAATTACAGTAAGAAAAAAAGAAGAAGAAGAGGTTGGAAGAGGTTGGAAGAGGCAGTACAGGTGCTGCGCCAAACAGAGCACGCGCAGAGGTTTTTGACTCCGAAGACTTCTAAAAAACAAACAATTGCGAGATGAAAAGTGATGCGCGTGTGCTGCGCCGCGCAGCAATAAGAGGTTTGAAGAGGTTTTTTCCAAAAAACAAACAACACCTTAGTAATTCTCATAGAATAGCATTGTCCGCACGTCCGCACAATAATTGTTCATCCACATTATAACCTAGCCCTACACCATATTCAAGACATTGTTGCAGGTTAGTGATTTTTTTATAAGATAAATATTCATTCCTCACATTCATAAATCAATTGTCTTGTAATTAGAATTGGTATTTTTTTTAATAGCACGAGAGAGTATAAATGGTTGAAATTGCAATTGAAATTACCAATTTTTGTTGATTTGATTGTCGAACCTTGTTTTCTCATATTCACTCTGTTACTCAATTTTGTAATTGAAATTGTCAATCAGATTATTTAATTTGCTGCCGCTCGACTTTTTCAGAATCATTATGTTCTACTTCTCAATTTTTATTGATTATCAAATTGTTTGTTATCAACAACTCGAATATTCAAGGCATTGTTGCTGGTTAGTTACTTTTTTGTAAGATACATATTCACTTGTAAAATTTATTTGATCTTGTTGAATTATTCATTCTAAATGTTGGTGAATGATAAAAAAGAGAACTATGAAAAATAAAATTTAAAATGAGTATAGACTTAAGAATGTTATCAGTGTGGTGGCATTAGGAAAGACCCAACATACATAATAAGTTTATATGTGATCATCCTTGGTGAATGATATTTTCTAATTGTTGGTTATTGTTCTATGTAATATACAGTGAATGGTGTCTAAAGTTGGAGCGGATGAGCCAATCGAAGAACATACAACGGAAGATGCTGAGGCAAATGATTTGCCAGAAACAATTGAAGAACTAAAAGATGCAAATGTTGAATGTGAGGAAAATGAATGGAACAATGAAAGTATTTTGGGAAAGGTGTTCGATACACACAAGGATGCGTATAATTTTTATAATGATTATTCATTTGTACACGGATTTGGTATACGTATCCATCACAAATATAAAAATAAAGAAACAAATGAACCTTTTCGGAAGATATATGTGTGCAACAAAGAAGGTTTCAAAAGAAGGAATGATAATACTTCAAATGGAAATAAGAAAAAACGTCGTAGAGATGTAAGAACGGCTGTAAGGCAATGCTTCGTATTACAAAAAAAAAAAAAAGGGAAATGATTCGTGGACGTGTTTAACGATATACACAATCATGACTTGAGCATGACACCAACGAAGGTGATAAAGCATAGATCTCATAGTAAGATCCATCGTTCAATGGAATGCAAATCTCTTATTGTGGAACTAGGTCAAGCAGGATTAAAGCCATCTCAAGTTAAGAAAGCTATTAATGCAATGAAAACTTCAAATGAAGCTGATGTTACTTCAAAACAATGTGCTGATGTCTTATCTGAACAACGAAAACATTGTAGAGGAAAGGAGTTTTATGGAGTTATAAAACATTTCCAAGACAAATCATTAGTGGATAATGACCAATATTTTTCGGTGGATTTGTGTGATGATGGGAGCCATAGGAATATTTTTTGGGCTGATGGAAGATCAAGAGACGCCTATACTAAATTTGGAGATGTTGTTGTGTTTGATGTCACTTACATGACTAACAAATTTAAGATGCCCTTTGCTCCTTTTATTGGTGTGAATCATCATGCACAATCTATTCTATTTGGTGGAGCATTGCTAGAAAACGAAAAGGAAGAGACTTTCGAATGGTTATTTGAGCATTTCCTAAAATGTATGTTTGACAATCATCTGAAGGCAATTATTACTGATCAAGACAAAGCTATAGGTAATGCAATAAGAAAAGTGTTTCCAAACACGCGACATCGTTTTTGTTCATGGCATATTAAGAAGCACGAATTGGAACACCTTCGACCATATGTTGCCCGTTATAGTGATTTTCAAGAATCATATAAAGAATGGGTAAAAAGTGATACAGTTGAAGAATTTGAAAGTAGGTGGGAAGTTATACGTGGTCAGGCCCAGTCCTAGACATTTTGGGGCCCTTATAAATTTTTTTTCTTGTAAAGGAGGGCGGTACCTCCGGAAATTTTTATTAATTAAAAAAATAATACAATTGAAGACTGGGGACTCCCCACCTATGAAAAAAAAAGGGCTTCGGGACAGGCCCCGGAAGCCAAACAACCTAGCAACTATTAATACAAAAAAAAAATAATAAAAAAATAATAAAAGGCCTCTGAACCATAATACATAAACATAACAAAGAAAAAACTAAAGAAATTTACATTTACGAGCTTTTTTAGATGCAAAGTCATCAATTATAGAATCAAGTTCAATATTATCCAACAAATCTTTTTCAATGCATAACATAGCCAAACCATTTAATCTTTCTTGTGACATTGATGATCTCAAATAATTTTTTAATAATTTTAGTTTTGAAAAACTTATTTCTGCTGATGCTACAGTAACAGGTATGGTTAATAGAATTCTATATGCAATACAAACATTTGGATAACAATCTTTACCTTTGGCAAACTCTAAAATTTCAATCGATGACATAACAACATTTGGCAAAGTCTTTATTAATACTTTAAGTTCCGTAAAAAATTCATTTAAATCCACATCACATAAGTCATTATGAGTAAACTTATTTACAAAATTAGTACAACTTGTTTTAAGTTCAATTTCATCCAATGACTTTAACCTTTTTGAATCATATAAAAATCCAAAAATATTTTCAAAGTTTGTTAATTGCTCAAATCTACTCTCTAATGACGCAATTGCCACATCAACAATATATATAAAATACTCGATTCTAAATGATTCTTTGGGTGATAGTGAAATATTTTCACAATTAGTTTCATCAAATTGTTTTGTTTTAATAATTTGTCGTATTTTTAGGAATATAGCTTCAACATCCATATCCGATGCAATGGCCTTAGCATTATCTATACTAAGGGCATAACCTTCATTTCTATAATTTTTAAAAAATGTCATCATATTTTTTAATAGATCAATTGTGGCATCAATACACAAAGTTTTGGTTTGCATTTTCTTACTAACTTTATTAATAGCAAATAAAATATCATACCAAATTACCATACCAAGTAAAAATTCATAACTTTCAATAGCATGAACTAAACTTTCAGCTTCACTTTTAGACTTTGCATCATCACATAATGAACATAATTCTACCAAGGCATCCCTTATATGAGGAGCTTGAAACCTAATGGCTTTGACACTTTTTATTCGACTCTCCCAACGAGTATTAGATAAAGATTTTACCGTTGAGTTAGGGACTTTATCAAGTAATATTGACCATCTTTTAGTTGAACCCGAAAATAATACAAAAATGCGTTGCAAAACTCCAAAAAAAGAAATAGCTTTAGCACAAGAATGAGCCATATCACTAACCGTGAGGTTAAGACTATGACAAGCACATGGCATAAACAATGCTTTCGGATTAATTTCAAGTAATCGTTTTTGAACCCCTTGGTGTTTTCCTTTCATGTTAGAACCATTATCATAACCTTGTCCTCTTACATCATCAATATTAAGACCATATGATTTAATTGCATTTAATAACTCATTAAAAAGTTCTAAACCTGATGTGTTTTCTACTTTCAAAAATTCTATAAAAAATTCTTCAACTTTTATTTTATTGTTATACATGTTCACACATCGAATAACTAGAGTCATTTGTTCTTGATGGCTAACATCGGGGGTGCAATCAAGGATAACAAAAAAATATTTTGATTCTTTTATAATATTAATTATAGAAATTCTAACTTTATTAGATAAAATAGAAATGATTTCATTTTGAATTTTGTGCCCTATATAATGAAGATGAGTTTGATGATTTTCTATGTGTCTAACATGCTCTTGCATTATAACATCAAATTCTGCCATCATTTGAATTGTTCCCAAAAAATTACCATTGGATTCTTGAAAAAGTTTTTATTACAACCTCGAAAATCCAAATTGTATTTTGCCAAATATTTGATGACAACAATTATTCTTTTTAAAACTTGCCTTCAACGTTCTTTTTCAGTTAAAATTTTATTTTGTAAATCTTTATCAATTGTTTTATTATTATCCAATCTTGTTTTTACTTCATCCCAAGAATCCATACAAAAAAGATGTTGGGAACTATTTTCATGTTCGTTAAGTCTATCAAATAGATGTTTCCAATCATTAAATCCATCATTTGCTAAAGAGATTTTAGTAACATAATTATTAGGTTTAAACAATTTACAACAAAAACAAAACACTCTATCAACTTGTTTTGAGTAAATTAGCCATTTTCAATCACTCGTCTCACCATTACTTAACTTTCTAGTATAAGAAGCATAAGAAAAATGTCTAGATAAATTATCTTTAGGATACACAAAATTTGTTTCTCTTATTGGCCCTTTTTCAATCAAAAGATCTCTTAAGTTATTATCAAGATTATTCCAATTACTATGATCATATATATCTAAAGGTGGAATAAATTGTTCATTGTTATTATTCATGTCATTTTCATTTTCATTCTCATTTGTAATATTAACATTTTCATGAGAAAAATTAACATCTTCATTATTAAAAATTTCATCATCAATAACAACATTTTCATTTGAAACATTTTCATGTATGACATTATCTTCTTCACCTAAACCATTTTTATGTGCAACATTATCTTCTACATTAGAAGAATTTATTTTTTTTACAAACTTATTCATAGATCCTTTTTGAGAATCATTTAATTGTTCAATTTTTTGTTTTTCACTTCCAGACATATATTTTCTAGGAGGCATTTTTAACAGATAACAATTAAGATAACCGATAACAAACAATCACACAGATTCACAAAAAACAACTTAACAAAATAATGGGAAAGTAGACTACCTGATGGCTAATGTGGCTGCTCAGCAGTTGACTTTCTGTTGCTTGTTTATAAGATTATATATCCTTAATCCTTTGTTCCCAAAGCAATGAGAAATCTGAAGATTAAAAATACAAAATAATCTTTAAATATGAGAAATTTCAAATTTAGCAAAATCACAGAAAATAGATTAATTTTTTTAAAAAAGAAATTACCTGTAGGCAGTAGGCTGTAAGTCTGTAACCAGCTTAGCTGTTAATAATCTTTGAGCAATCTCAAATCTTATTATCTGAACATAAAAAACAGTTAAACAAAGAAATTAGAAAATTTATCTCATATCTTATTATCTCAAATCTCAAATCTGATTAATCATTCATAACAAAATCAACATTACAGAAGTTTATTTAATCAAAATCAATAATTAAATCACATTCCATTGCCTACTCTTAACAAAATAGACAAATAGTTCACAGATTAAAAAATTAGACTCACAATCAAAGCGTTGTACTGTACTTCAGTCTTCAAAGTTCATACGAAATCCGAATTCACCATTCACGGATTCACCAAACGATTCAGAAATTAGAAAAAGAATCACCACAACACCACTCCACCAGCTATTTCAGAAATATGAAATTGGAAAATAAAAGAGAAATAGAGAATGAGTATTATGTAATTCGTAATCGACTAATCGGCGATGGCGAATCAGAAAATCAAAATTCAGAGAAGAGGAGGAGATTGGAGAAGGGTAACCGATAAACTTGAAGTCTTGAACTAGAAATAGAAGAAGGAGAATCGAGAATTAACCGTTAGAGATGGTGTGTCGTTTGGATTTTCCATGGAAGCGAACTAGCGAAGCTGAAGAGAAGTCGAACTGTCGAAGATTCAATTGAGTCTTGGAAATTGGAACCGAGAAACTCAAACACGGTAGGTCAGACTCCGTCACTCCCGCTTCTTCAATTTGGGCGCAGTTCAATTTGGGCGCAGTGTGTAGGAGTTAATTTTGGGCCAAAAAAATATAGGCTTAAAAAATATGGGCTGCAACTAATATAACCCAATAACAGGTATAAATATGGGGCCCTTTGGCGTTTGGGGGCCCGGGACGGTCGCCCAGCTTGCCCAGGCCCATGGGCTGGCCACGTGGTAAATATAATTTAGAAAGTAATTGTTGGGTAAGTGAAATGTATAACCAAAGGAAACATTGGGCTAAAGCCTTCTTAAAGGATATTTTCTTCGCTGGTATGATAACAAGTGGACGAAGTGAGAGTATTCATTTTTTTTGATGGATATGTTAATTCAAGGACTATGTTGAATGAATTTGTCATACACTATGATAAAGCAGTTGAGTCTCGTAGGTCTGCTGAAGAAGATGAAGACTTCAAGACTATGAACTCGAGGGCTGTTCTTTCATCTGTGCATCCAATCGAAGCAAAAGCAGGTGAGTGTTATACTAGAAAAGTTTTTGAGATTTTCAAAAAAGAATGGAAAGAAGCCACTAGCAATTTAAGTCATGAGACTTTATGCAAAACTACTAAAGAAATCAAATATCGAGTTGGGCAACTGGACATTGATAAAAGATATTGGTGAATTGTTAGCTTTCGTTCTTTGAATCAAGTAAATGTCACCTGTTCGTGTGGTAAGTTTGAGACATGTGGGATTTTATGCAAGCATAGCCTATATGTGATGAAGAAGAGACTTGTTGAAACACTTCCGATTCACTATATTTTATCTCGGTGGACCATTAATGCTAGATACAAGGTGGGTAATCGTTGCATCGGACTCGAGGAGAAGGATAATGAAAATGGAGTTAGTGCCTTAACTTTGTGGTGTGTTCGTTCAAATTTTACTAAATTAATTGAACAAGCAAGAGACTCCCCGTCAGAGATTCAAAAACTCAATACTTTACTGATTAGTCTTTTAGATGATCAAGCGATTAGAAAAAAAAACTAATGTTTTTGAGAATGTATCTCAAGGTTCTTGCGTGGGAATTTCACAAGTCGATATGATCCCTCAATTATCTGTCCGAGATCCTTTTGGTCCAACTACAACCACAGGGCGTCCTAAAAATGCAAGCAGACTTAAGTCTTGTTTAGAAGTGCCGAAAAAACGAACATGCTCTTATTGCCAAGGATTGGGCCATTATGCCACTAGTTGTTCAAAAAGAAAGGTCGTTACAAACTTATTAATTTTCATGATTTTCCTAATCTCATAGTTATATTGATTATCTATTTAATTTTTCATGTATCAGGTCGATGAATCGCTGCAAGAGAAACATTGATGGGATGATTTTTTTTCCAGTTTTAGGACCTGTTTCAGAACTTACTTCAGTTTTTGAACCTGTTTCAGAACCTGCTTCATTTTCAGAACCTATTTCAGTTTTTTTACAACTTTAGAATCTGTTTCAGTTTTGGAATGAAAATTTTGAGTTATGGAATTTACTATTAAATGTTAAATGCATAGGTATGGTGTATTAAAATATAGATACTTGCTAAAATTTTGATTTAGATAATTGTATGGTTTTTTCTGTTTTGACCAGAAACGATTATAAATAATCTGGATTCTATGTTGAAATTCTGTTTTGGATAGAAAGCATGCACGTTGCTGATTTTGGAAAGAAAATTCTATATGGTGGTTGTTTCATAGGTTAAAAAGATAAATATGTTGATAATAAATGTTAAAAAGATAAGTAGGTTGCTATTACAAGTTAAAAAGATAAATATATTGCTATTACAGGTTAAAAATATTAGTCGGTTGCTATTGCAATTTAAAAGATAAGTAGTTTGTTATTGTAGGATGATTGTTATTTCTGATAAAAAAAATCCAAATATGTTGGTATCTCGGTGAACAATGAAAAATTGGTATAGTCTAGATCTGATGGAGATGAATTAGAGCAATTGAGTAGGAATCTGGTTGAATGATTAGAGTAGAATCACTGTTAAAATCTATGGTTGTCATTCAATTGGACAGTTTCACCCTAATTTAGAGTAAACTTACTCTAGAAACATAATACCTAACCATTTCTTAGCTGACCTTATTTATACTTTTATTCACCACCAACTTAGCTAAAAGGACTATAATGCCCTTGACACAAACAAACATAAAAGTCAAACAATCCCCTAGAATTACTTCCTATTCTATGCATAAGTAAACCTCAAATAAGGTTTACCAAAAGTTCGTTAGTATAAATACATAGGTCATTAGCCAAACTAATCAATATTATAAATTAAATGTAAGTACATGGTCGTTGGGAAAAATAATTAACGATACAGTTATATATAAAACCATGTTTGTCAATAAACAATTTTGTTCTAGTGACTATTAACAACTTCTAATTTTGAGCACACTTGACACATACAAACACTGCAAAAACTTTTTTTTCTGGACATGGTGAGAAACCATCAGTTCCCTTGAAGCTCATGCTTGATAGTGAGCATTTAACCCGTCGAATACTTGTCCAGGTGGAACTATTGTTGGATAGTTTACAGCCACCTGAAATGACATGAATAATATGAGAGATTGTGGATGTTACACATGATAGGATTGATAACCAACAGAGGTTGTAGGAACAAACAAACATGTCTAGAAAAAGAAATAAACATACATTTAATGAGACAAAAATCATAACGGTTTATTAAGAATTTAAAGTAACCTCACCTGAAAATGATAACCAACAGGTGAGTAGCACATGAACCAACTTTTATATCCTTTTGTTGCATACCAGACAATGTAGTTACCAAAAGTAGCTTAATAAGTTGAAAATATATAAAGCTTAATAAGTTGAAAATATATATATATATATATACATATATATATATATATAAGTATGGTCACAATGTAGTTACCACCTTTTATATCCTTTTGTTGAAAATTACTTGTTGATTTCACCTGCTATTTGTAACCACCACATATATGAGTGAAAACTATGGCCTTCCAAAACCAATCTAATTGTTCCATCCTAGTGGGCATTTTCTCAAACACCTTGTATGCATTCATATCAAACATTTACCATCAAATAAAAGAAAGTCAATAAACTATTTCTAACATATAAACAAATCAAACAACAAGATTTTGCAATAGAAAGTAGCTTTTACACCACTTATGAAGTTTCAGAAGAAAAAAAAACTTGTACTAAAATACCAAAAAGTATAGTTGCCGATCAGGGTACCAACAACAACAAATAAGAAGAATTGAGTAGTAAAAACACATATTGTACCTGGCCAAAGAGTGAATTCGTGGTTCTAAATCGATAGTTTGTGAGAAAATCAGATTTTGAGATAAATCCAGAAATTTCGGAATCGGCTATCTATGAAACAACCTGTAATTTTGTGGGAAAATCAGAAATTTGATGAGAAGGGGGAGTTTACAAAAAATCAGAAATTTGATGAGAAGGGGGAGTTCAACCTTAACGAAGAATGGATGAGGAATGAATATTTATCTTATAAAAAAATCACTAACCTGCAACAATGTCTTGAATATGGTGTAGAATATCCGAACAACAACAATCGAGAACAAACAGAGATTGACAATCGATTAGCAAAAAATTATAATTTCAATTGCAATTTCAATTTCAACCCTGTATACTTTCTCGTTCTAATCAAAATACCGATTCCAATTTACAAGACATGATTTTTTTTTTCCGGTTAAACACAATCGACTTCTGAAAGTGAGGAAATCATGTGATACCGAAAATAAAGGAAACAAGATACGCTTGAAATATTACGTTATCAAGCAAATCGATTAAGTGTTGAAATTAGCTCAAAACGACAACTTCTTATGTTGCATATATATATAAATATATATATATATATATATATATATATATATATATATATATATAAGAAGGGGATGATTGAATTTACAGCAAGAGGAGAACGCAGGAAAATTGAATTTACAACATGATGAGAGAAAAAAACAAGTTGTTAGTAATATATAAAGAGTACTAGATGAGGAACCCCGCTTCGCGGGGTATGGATTTGTTATAAGAGATTGTTTTGGTTGATTGTGGTACGCTTTGACAGTTGTGGTACTCTGTTATGAGTAGTTGTAAAGAAAGTACATTGTTATTCTTAATATTTACGCCCATTTTGTCTTTTTGCAAACAAACCATCAGACTTAAGCAGATACAAAAATAAGACTACATATATCATGATTTTTTTTTCAACTCTGCCTGTACAAGCTGTATTAAAAAACAACAATGTCAATATTAGAATTTGGTTCAAGAAAATTAACACCTTCAATGGAAACACAGGCTTTTTCTCCAGCAGCCATAATTAACTCGAGGAACAATGGCATGATGATTGTCTCTTTCTTTTTGTTTACAACCTGCAAAAAAGAAAATGGTGAATAAAAATACAATTCGATCCATAACTGTCATGCAAGAAATAGCAACCCAATCTCAAGAAATCATATACCTGCTCCATTCCATTTTTTGTGTCAGAACCTCCTAAAATTTATATACCATTACAAACTTAGAATCCTGATGTAAATCTGTAACCTGCAAGCAAAACCACAATAGATTACTGGCCAGTTAATATCCATGCAAGAAATAGCAACATACTATGATTTATTTATTAAATCCATTACAACATTGTAGTTTTAAAATTCCACTTATAAATTTTGAATGCTATGATTGGATGGATTTTCCAAAGTATAATCTATTATAAAGAAAAAAAAAACATACTATAGAGAACTTGCTACCAATATATAAGACGAGGAATACTTCATAAAAACTGTTCTTTTTTTCCAAAGTATGATCTATTTAAATTTGATTTTTAATATTATTTGTAACTACTATACCTGTTAATTAAGTTAAAACCATTTATTTGGATATTTTTTGGTTAATCATCATCGTTTTTAAGTAACTAATCATTCTAATAATAGTTTTAAACATATTTGAGTTGAAAAAACATATCAATTATGATATACATACTTATGTTAGATAATTTCTAAAAACCACTTTTTTGAGTGAAAGCAAAATCTATTGTGTAATTTACGTATACATTAATTTATAATAGAGAGACAACACTTACCTTCATATTAAAAAGACATCCATCTTTATCTGTAGTGGAAAGGGTCAAACAACCATCACAACATAGGAAGCAAGCCAATTTATTACATTTATTTAAAGATGAAGAAACCTCTTGTTTCCTATAATTGGGAGTCTTCTTCGATTTCTTTACAAAGTATAAATAAAACATAGATTAATATACCAATGAAAAAAGGGGGCATTAAATGATATGTAAAAGAAAAAAGTTGATCATACATAAATAAAAACAAACATTAGTATACATAACGAAATTGGAAGCATGTGGCTTTTTGGAGCATAAACTAAGGCAATAGATAATCCTTGAAAAAATAAAATTGAAAGTTTTTTTTTTTTACCATAAACACCTGAGAACAAAGATTATAAACAAATAAACGTAGGCAATTATAAAGTCCCTGTTTGAATGATTTGACAAAAATATAAATAGTGTTAAATGATAATAAAAAAATAAAAAAATGCACATTGTAAAGATGATCAGACTTAAAAATATTATGGAGGCCAGCTAAAGTACAAAACCACATAAGTTTTCATAAAATGTCATCAAACTGTATTTTGAAGCACATACAGTTTAACTTGATGGCAACTTAACCATTAACCCCTTCTAATTAATAATAACAAAGTTAGCTTCCGTTATACTTTACACATGTAGGACAACAAATTAACAAAGAAAAAAGCTTTTATTATTGACCGACTTGATTGATGTGTAGTGGAAGACTTGGAATGCAGTCTATGTAAAGAAACAAATTACTAACTAAAGGTGTGAAATCAAAACATAATGATTTTTTATAAGAATGAAATTACTAAACATTTAAAAAAAATGGTATGAAAAGTATAAGATTACCTTTTTACCCATTAAGCAATGCCAAAGGGCGACCGAGTAAAAGAGAAAAATAGCAGCGAACTTTCGAGCAGCCATCCATGTTTAAAATGGAGGTCAATAAGGAACCTATGATCATCCTTAAATGGAATATATCAGTAAACTAAATACAGATGGTAAGATAGTTAAAATTAAAAAGATGTAAAACAGAAAACAAACATCAAACTAAAGCAAACAAACATATATAGTTTACTTAGGTTTCATGCAGACATTTCATCGAACAGTTTTTGTGCATCAAAACATCACTAAAACCACAACCATACCCTTGTTAATCGATAGAAACATTACAAAAATCAAAAACAAAACCTGTAAATTTGGAGATGAGTAGCAACTGTTTCCAATCAACCATACACATCACCAAGTATTTCATGCCGTTTAAAAAAATGTCAATCAAAAAGGAACAAAAATTAATTTGCAAGCAAAAGACAAAAAAGATGATTGCAGATGCTTACCGGTTCAATTCTTCATCTTCATTTTACATATGCCATCTTTGAAAGCTAAAAAAAAATAAATCGAATCAGAAATTTTAACATGCATAACAAATTTCAGAATTCTTACGTAACACTCAAATACTTTTTTATCAAGGTAATTTTTGGTTTATATGACAGAAAATAAGAAGTTTTAGGGCTGATAATTGGAAAATCACAGCACCATCGCCACTCCAACCCACCAGCAGCGTTGCCTCTTTCTGCTATGAACAGTACCGACATCAGCACAAAGGCGCCTGCAGCTATCTCTATCTCTCAATTGATAGTCATTGAACTCTCTCCCATTCTTAACTGTTGTCGGATATGCCTGTGGGTTTAGAGTTTTCTTACCCAAGGAAAGAGATAAAAAGTGACGATTTCAGTAGTAATCAGCGCTATAACTATATTTAATAGTGGAGGAAAAATAGATAATAGATGAGAAACCAGTATGTATACCTGAAGTGGGTGGCGTTAACAGCGTGAAAGAAGGCGGAGGCGGAGGCGGAGGCGTCGTCGGTAGCATCATCTGGATACTGTACGCTGAGGCGGTCGGCGTGAAGATGCGCAAGGTTAGAGTAGGTGGGGGCTGGCGGTAGCGAAGATGGGAAACGTCTCAGCTTGAAGCAAGTCGGTGGAGCTTTCGCGGTACTAACCCCGGTTGGAGGGCGGTGTTAATTTGTGAGCAGAAGAGAAACACCGTGAGAGGCAAAAGAAAAGGAGCATCGATCGCGAAAAAAGAAAGACAGAAGAAAAGAAAAATCTAGGAACGGTGGGTGATGTTGATGTGTTGGCGACGGAGGGTGTAGGTGATGTATCGGTGGGTGTTATCTGGTAGTTTTGAGGGAAATCAATCTATCGAGGGAAACCGGTGGATTGGAATGGACTGGAAACAGAAAATTCGAGGCAGTGGAAATGAGCGATAATGAAGAATCAAGAAGAATCTGAGGCGGTGGATGGGTGGAGGGATTAAGAACGGAACACGTGAAAAATAAAAGAAGCAGCAGAACACAAAGGCAGAAAAATGTAAGAGATACCATTTGAGACCCAAACGGCCAAAAATATAAAAAAAAAAAAAAAAAAAAAAAAAAGGATTTACTGTTGCTAACTTAGGACAATTTTAATATATATATATATATATATATATATATATATATATATATATATATATATATTAATTAGAGATAAATAAGTAATTAAGTTTTGTATATTAATAAAGAGTTTCAAATAAGTAAGGAAAACTCATTATTTGACCCAATAAATGATTATTATATTTACATATCCAAACATTAAAATCTACTTATCACTTGGAAACCGGTACATGCTAATAAAGAGTTTAAATAAGCAATCCTAAACACCCCTTAAAAAGTCAGGTCCCCTTAACTTATGAAAAACTGCACTTTGAGAGGTTTTAAAGAGTTTCAAAAAGCCACTATAAATAAGCACTTATCAATATCTAACTATATTTTAACTGTGACAACCATCAAATTTCGGTCAAGTCAAAGTCAAACAAAGTCAACAAGTTAAACCGGTCAACTCCATTAACCCTTGTATGTTAGGGTTTACGTTATGTAATCACTGTACAATTCGTTATTTTAATGAGAAAACATCATTTGGAAAGTTCATGTGTTTGATATTCCTTAGCCTTAACAGTGCTAAACAACGAACCAAAGCGATAAAACACTATTGCACAATCATCGGGATTGTGTAGGACACTAAATCATGGCTTAACGGGGTCTATGGACCTTGCGTTGCGAAGCCGGACACTCAAAAAGATCACAAACGAAACCTCTCTCAATCTCATTCAAACCCTACTCAAGATTACTTGACGCTAATAGGATCAAAACTCATACACTACGATATAAATTGACGTTAATAGCAACATAGTATAGTACAACGTTATAACTATAATCAAATTAAATTATGATACCATATTAAAATCAAATCAAAGTATAATGCTCTAATTAAATTTAAAAGAATCAAACTTGAATGCTATAATTAAACTTCAAATCAAAGTAGATTGTTGTAATCAAATAATAACTCATCTTTTATAAAACTCCATTTTTATAAATTTTACATTAAATTTTATAAAACTCTATTTTTATAAACTTTACATTAAATTTTATAAAACTCTTATATTAATTATGTAAAAGATGCTTGTGTTAGTGGGAAATTATGAAGACCACCAAAAGCAAAAAGATTATTCTCATGGTCTCCCACTCACACCTCCCATCCACTTTCCTTTCCTTTTCTCCCAACACATTATTCTCTTCACCACTTAAACCTTCTCTATTCTTTCTCTCACTCTCAATCTCGAAATTCATCCAAGAAATACTCATATTCCAGCCAACAACAATCTATTATACTCAAATCTTCATCCATCTTGAAGCCTTCATCAAGGTATGTTGTTAAAAGTTTCAAATTCATACAAGAAACAAATTAAATCCACCAAAATATCTAAAACTCATTTTATGCATAAACCTGATTTTTCTCAGAATCCCATCAATAAAATAAGAAGTTCTGGAAATTTTCAGAAAATAACTTATTTTTATTGAATTACTATAATTATTGCAATAAAGTAGAGCAATAATCACATAAAATACTTTTGCATTCAATAAATTCTGAGAAAATTCTGGGATGACCAATATATTGATTAAACATAATTTATGAAGTTTCATGCATTTATATTACTGTTTACTATTATTTATGATTTTATTGATTAATTAATAATGAAATATATAAAAAATACTTCCCATAGTCACAAATATCCGAAACTTATACACTGGGCTCTATATCATGTTATAAAACTATGGTTAATTTTACAGAATTTTTGGGAATCATTTTATTTTTTCCCGAATTTTGTTGTTGTTTAATCATTAAAGTATTAAATAAATACTAAAACAGTTCAGAAAAATATAAAAATTTTACAGTAATTAATATTGTATGAAATAATGATTTCTTAATAATTTCATAATTTTTCAATACTGTGTACTATTTAAAACCATTTTCCTAAGTATTTAAGCATGTAAAAATGCATTTTAATGATTATTTCATATAAATAATTGTTAAAATCTGTAAATAATTATAATTGGACAAGTTATTATTTTAATAAGAAATTATTAAAATCTGGCCTAAATTGAAAATATAAATTAATTATGCAAAGTAATTAATTCAATTTAAAATTCATTTAACAAATGAATACCTTAATATTATAATCAAAATGAATTATTGTTAATTCATCTAATATAAGAATATGTGTCTAACTATTTGTATTAGTACTCTATTCTCGTTTAGCAGTTCCTAAACCAAAACTATTAATTATATTAGGATCTACGCCATTTTGACCCGAACCGTCTATCGTACGACACACACATTTCGTTTTGGGACTAATGTGAGTAATCTACCCCATACTTTATAATTTTCAATACTTTTGGGGTGTATCATGTGGTCCTAATATGTTCCAACTTCATTTTATTGTTTTATCACAATTGAGACATTGTTGGGACATTTATACGTGAGTCATTAATTGTATAACTATTGTTTGTTTACGCTACATGTACTTGTAGTGCATTACCATTTTTAGTCTAATCTCCATGACTATGCCCGTATTCTTGAGGTACGTTATGGACAATAATAGCGCTATTGGGTTGACCACTCCGCCTTGGGACACTAAGGTGATTGATCGCACGTGGTTGAGTGTGTATGATGATTAGATGCTCCATCCTATATATATTTATATATATATATATATATACATATGTATATATAGGGTGAGGACTTATTGTTGTTGTTATCATTTGTTAATCAATTTTTGATTTATAAACCGTTATCTCAAATACAATTGTTTGCCGACTTCAAAAGAAAACAAATTTCCAATTATAAAGGTTTCAACTTCACAATTTTCTCTACTAAAATTAGATTACTCACCAACTCTCGTAGTTGACCTGTTTTTACCCATGATGCAGATTTGAAGAATGAAGTTGATGAAAAATAGGTTGTGCCTTAGAAATCCACAAGACTATTTAAATTTGATGTAATAAATGTTGTTCGTATTTGGATTTGTATTTGTATGTTGTAGATCTTGTTTGCATACTTAGTACTTAATTGAATCTAATCATACTATAACATAGTTGTCATGAGACTTTGAACAATATATCACGCCTCGATCGATTCCGACAAGGATCGGGGTGTGACATTAACTTATTGACGTTTTGAAAAATATTATTTAAGTATTTCAACAATATCAAAATCCGTATGAAAAATCACACATACAAGTTGCTACAATTTCAACATTCCACAAGAAAAACACACCAAAATCATAAGAACAAACCTCGTATATAAGCTATCATGTCTAGGATCATTTCAACATGATATTTCAGACAAACGGATATGGTTGCGAAAGACAGAAGTTGCGCGATGGGAAGGTGGTTGAATGGGCAGAAGCAACGTCAAAGAGCTCGGATACGTGCGGCGAACAACGTAGGTGTGGATGCGCGACCAACTTTGGAGGCAAAAAATGGAGAAGGATTGTGGGTGGTATCGGCTAGGGCACAGGAGCGAAGTGGAAAACACACC